CAGCAACATGATGAACCACTTCGTAGGCGGCGGATTGCTTTATCAGACGCCGAGACTGGCCCTGCTATCCTCCTTCAGCATATAAATGAGGCCCAGTTGACGGCGTCATCTGGGGTTGAAGACGCGGTCGCCCAGCCATTGGACTTGGATGCTCGGCGATTGCCCTCGGACGCTCAGCAGGACCTTATCGTGATCTTGACAGTCAACCGAACATGCAGGATAATAACAATCATGGCCCTTGGATTTTGGGGAGGCTGGTCAATCATGCCTGCAGAGATGAAGTTTCCTGACAGTGTAGCTTGGGTGACCTACATTTGCATTGTCACTGACTGGTAAGGCGTCGTTTTTCTACCATTTACGAGAGATGCAACAACAGAGTCAACTGATACTAAATTGAAAGGATTGCCCTTGCATCTGCTCTGGATTGTACATTCCCAGGTTCAATGGATTGGTACTTCCGCAGGTGGCCAGAATGGTGGTTTCTCAAAAGAGAGAACTTGCCCGAGATATCAATTACGGGCTACAACATTCTCAACATACTGGTTGGACTATCGATTGCCTTCTTCGGGTACGCTCTGCAAAGCGATCAGGCAATTTTGAACCGCGCAAATGTTATTTCAGGGAGTATTATTTTTGTGGTGTTTGTTCCTTTCATTTGATAATTTTTTTCCCTCTCTGACGAAAACCTCTAGATTGTATTCGCTTGGTCTTGTGAAAGGAAATGCGGAAGGCCCAGGAGCATGGTTCTTTCACACTAATTATGCCACTCATATATTTTATGGTAAGTCCCTGATTTAGATAATTTATCTCGGACTCACAGTGCTCCCAGGAGTCGAGTCCGCATATAACTTGGGCAAGTGATATATTTTTCGTTTCAGCATGCGTAACCTCATAAATATTGTGTCACGCAGCAACATGGTGGTGGATCGCCTTTCGCATCCATGGGGTTGTGAAAATCTTACGCAATCGCGACAAGCCTGAAATGGCCGTTCAATTCCGTATTCTCATAGTTGGCCTTGTTGTGGAGGTTGCCCTTTTGATTTGGTATTTTGCTATTGTTTTGCTTGCATATTTCTTCAAGCGAGGTTGGGCACACTGGAATAGCGCCTTGTGGGCTGAGCGCCGCACAGCTCAACTAGCTATGCTCGTATTATGGGCATTGGTTGTTATTTTCGGATTATGCGTGGAGCTCCCTAATATATTTTTCCCGTGCAGCGGTAGTACGTCTCCCTTTTGTAAAGTACTAATTTAATAATGCTTCGCAAGGCTGGGCAGGCCCGGCAACTTTCACTATATGGTTTAGCGCATACCAAGGTAAGTAATAGGATGATCAGTGTATGGATGGATTGAAGACATACCTATAAGAAGGGAGCACAGCGATGGGAAGAGGCGCGAAGGTTATGTTGCTTCAACAACGAAAACGAGCCCCGCTTTGCAACACAGGCACCAGCGCGGATACGCCGGGGAACACCCGTGAACCTCAAGACAAAGTGTACCTCGCCCCGTCTAAGCGGAACACCCGACCCGCCCCCAGGCACCGCTGTGGACGAAGTACAGGCGCGGTTCGCTCCCTTCTATTGCAGCACGACGGTGCATTTCTCTCTTCGAAGATGTGGACTGTAGTCTCATGGTACACCCTCTCCACGGTGCTTTCCCAATCTGGGTCCCTTACTGGGGAGAGGATAGGGATGAGACAAAGTTGGTGGTTGATCTGAAATGCGAGTGGATTCAAAAGGAAGGGGAAATGTTGGTGCTGAATAGGACCATATAACATGCATAGCAGAAACAGAAGAACAACCCGGAAAGAGCCAGAGCACTAAGATCTCATACATTGAAAGAAGAGCGGGCCACAACAGCCAAAAATCCAAAATCCAAAAGCCCAGCAAGTTTTGGCGAACAAGATCTACAGTCCAGTCAGTCGCCAGGAAGAACGAAACATTTTCCAGCCAGCGTAAGTGCGAGTCGCATGCGCTATGTGGGCATGGGCCTCAGCACTGCTGCCGCCGGCATGCGCCATGGGATGGTAATTCGGGCCTGAGACTCGCGTTGGGGGGGCGTCGCTGCTCAGTTGATCATGGAGCGTGGGGAATTTTAGATTCCGGATCATTCCGGCGCCCTGGGGAGGGAGTGCGCACGGACCATGCCGAAAGTCACGACTGGATACCAGCACTCGAGCTCGAGCGGCATCATTCACTTCTTCACCAGCATTCTCCCTTTCGACCAGGAAATTTCAAGCCTCTATCAGACAGAATACACGCCCATATTTATCTCGACCAATCGCTCAATGCACGTGCGCATGTTATGTCTCAGGTGCTTTATTTATCTCTGTCGAGGCTTGAACGTAAGTATATGCGAATGCGCACCCCCTAATCGCTCTCACTCCTCGAAAACGTTCGTCACCTTATACCCTTGAAGCCAGGATACGGTCAGATATCTTCCGTTTCGTGTGTGTGTGTGTATGTGTGTGTGTGGGTAGCTGTATACGGGGATGCTTTCCTGCATAAAGCCGTCGCGCACCGCAGCATAACGGAGACGTGGCGCGTCGGCACATCTGTGCAGACATTTTATGGCGGAATATTCCAATATCAATGTCACACATATGTACATACCAAATGCACGGCGGCCACCAGCTCTGGCCTGCTCCAGTCGAAGGAACGGACTCGATGCCGATAGACGCGTACGCACCTTCGCCGGAGCTTGGAAAGTTGGCTAGTTATATATATGGAAATTCAAGGCGGTATATACCCCATGTGAGTAATACCGTATTCATGGCCAACCATAAACTTTTTGCCCAAAGCCTCTGTAAGCGACAAATATAAGACGCTGCCTCGTTCGGAGTCGCACGCAGTCTCAGATTGTCTCCCTTATCTCCCCTGCTCGTCCCTCACTATCTGCCGATCTTACACGGCCCTCCGAGTCAAGATTCCATGTCTTATGCTGCGTCTTCGAGGACTCTACCTGGTAGGTACAAAGCTCCTCACTTCTCGACAATGCTAATGAGAATACGTATCAGACTGTTGGGGCCACCGTGGGGTAAGTAAGCTAAACATAGCTTGAATCTTTTATAACTCAGCCTCCCCTCAGGCTTCGTCGCGATTTCCAGAAAATACCCTTGCCAGCTTTGAAGCTGCCATTCGGGACGGCGCCGAGGGCATCGAAAGCGGTGGGCGGTTCAAATTTATGTGCCCCATCCGCGGGATATGTTTACTGACCATGTTATGCGATGCAGACGTACATGTCTCGGCAGACGATGTAATCATCATGATACACGATATCTGTAGGCCCTTACTTTGTGTTATCTGTGTAGCGGTTCTCCGGACCTGATTCCGTTCTCCTGCACAGCTCTCGACCGCGTCACGGATTATTCAGGTACATATAACCTCCTCATTGCGATTCACTTCATGCAAACTCCTGCGCACAGGAAAAATCAAGGAGCGAAACTGGTATGGGGAAGACGGTATGGAGCATGCCCGGACGAAGAAAGAACCACCGCAGGCAATACCCACCTTTGAACAAACGATAAATCTCCTCATGGAGGTAGCTCTCAGCGAATTTCTGAATACAAATTACGCGACATTAATGCGATTTTTTACAGCCTGAAAACCGGCACGTAAAGCTAAACCTCGACGTCAAAGCGGACAACGACCCCGACCGCCTATTTGTGCTCATGCGCGATATCATCTCGAAGCACGCAGACTACGAGACGCTCCTCGCGCCGCGTGTCCTCATTGGGCTCTGGCACCCGCGGTTTATTGCTCCAGCCAAGGCGCAGCTCCCCCACTGCCGGTTGTCGTACATTGGAAACTGCACGAACATCGCGCGCAAGTACTTTTGGGCGGACTGCGATACGTTCTCGATGGCGTTTGGGACACTCACGACGTACGAAGGGCAGACGTGCGTATCCTGTGCATCTATTCCATATGAAATTGTGGGCCCGGTTGTATAGTTCATACTGAGTGTTTGATCATGCAGGTTTATTGCAGAGTGTAAGAGCGGTGGAAAGCGTTTGATGGTGTGGACGGTGAACCACCCCGACCACATGATGGAGGTGAGTTGCTGTTCTGGATAGTCCCCTCAAATTGCATATCGTCGACGCAGGCGGTACGGTGGGGAGTGAATGTGATAATAACAGACGTGACGAAGACCTGGCTTGATCTCCGCTCGGCACTACAAAGTGCGTTCGACATTCTTCAGACGGGACGCTCGCTAACAGTCCGACGACAGCCGACTATGAGACAGTTGGGTCGCAATACGGGCGCAGCTTCCTCTGGACAACCTTTCACTTCTACGCGCCATTCCACTTCCTGAAGAAGTACGTTCTCGCCTTGCGCCTGGTACAGCTAGCTGGCCCGTTTGATTTCGGCACCGATATGGCGGAGATCCGTGATGACGTTGTCACCAGGTAGCGGCGGTGGAGGTGTTTGTGCCACCCGACGGGATGTCTCCGCTGACGCTTTGGCTTTATTTTTCTATCACAAACTATCACGCAAGCTCAAATCTTTCCACTATTTACTGTACATTGCTAATGATATATCATATACCATTGCTAAAGCGGGTGTTGATTTGTTACTGGCTCGGCCTCAGTTAAAAATTATTGGTGTTTCAACGATGGAAAATCAAGACTTGCTAAGAAAGTTCAAAGTTGAACAGAATAGGCACCTATAGACTTGCTTTGCATCTGTAAGACATTGAATGAGAATATCAACGCACGACGGGACTCAATACGGTCACATGACCACACACCGTTGATCGAATTTAAGCGCCCGTAAGTATTCCGAGTCATTCAAATTGGAACATCAGGGCCCGTGGCGGTCGACTAGGCACTAAAGCAAGCTGACCATCGTTATAGGATTTGCGAGGATTGATTTGCTATATGTGACTCAGCGAATTGTGCACTGCCATATAGGAGAATCGAGATCATTGCAAGATGTCGATGATCATCGACCAGCTTCAACTTTTCAAGCGCAGCATGGGTGGGATAACGAGCAAAAAGAGTACCATGGCCAACTTGGGGATTGAACCCAAGACCTTCGTGTTATTAGCACGACGCCATAACCAACTAAGCCAGTCGGCCATATCTACTGCAATGTAGGGTTGATGTAGGGTAACGGCACACATACACGTAAAACTGCTTCGCCATTCCCAGGGAAGTTCGGGGGACAGACCGATTTACACCGAGCGCTGTTCCGCGACGCGTCATTTTATCTCAGCAATCTGCGATGCCGCGACCCATCGTCGACCACCACCACCGCCATCGCTCGTCCACCCAAGGACGGTGGACCCTCACAACAGGAATCGTGAAATTGGCTAACAACTTGCGACATACATAGATACATCGAGTCGTACCGTGGAGCAGTACGTATTGAGGTATTTTTATCTACCCCGGACGTCGCGCGTACCAACGGATAATTACCCTAAATTCGAAGATCCACCCTAGCCATATTACACAGGGAACACCACATCTAGATCGCGCACTCCCCTGACATCCGGATCGCGAACGTTGACGGGTGCAAGAGTGCAGGAATAAAACGCGCCGCGCTCACCGCAGTGTTTGAATCAGTCGTGACTCTCCAGGAAAAACATGTTCACTGCGCTGCTACAGCGGCTGCACAAGCCGGTACCCCGACTGAGCTAGGCGCGCCTCTTACTACTCGTACTCTGAAGCAAACCCTCAATATCATGACGCACCTAGGTATGTCATTAAACCAGTGTTCCGATTCCTACACATCTGCGATCCAAACGGACAACAGTTGTGGTGTCCTTAGGATACTGGCAGGGCCGATTCTTGGCCCACGGAAGTGTCTGCTGCATGGGGCGACTACTTATCTGAGATAGGGTTTCTATATACGCATCGTCTGAATATCTAAGTGGAATTGTCAGGTACGTGTCGTCATGTATGACGGTATAAGTCGATGTTGGCCGCTAAGAAGTGGCTCGAGACGCAGTGGTTCTATATGGTGATAATATGCACAATTAGCTGCGTCATCCTTGCTCCATGTTGCATATATGAAGAGTCGATGGACTCAGCAGCGACCCCCTAACTTCTGGTGCATAACCTGACTATCTTGTATAGACCATTCTATATCTAGAGCTGCGTCTCGGAGGTCGGAGCAAGCAGTAGAATAGAGTGTCATTCTGCGACCACAGAGAGTCATCAGAGTGGCTCGAATCACTTGAAGCGTTCGCTCCGAAAGCACAGAGAGCGTCCAACAAGTGCAACTTGAGTATGCCGTCATCTCTACTGTCCGAGGAATGAAGCTAATAGATGCTTTTGCAGGTCTGGTTGCTTCGTTAGGCTACCCGCTGCTAGACCAAGGTTACCACCATTGATTTTCCATACATACACATCTCTCATATATTTTTCCAGACGGATGTAGAGTCGGATGTGATTTGATGAACCTATTCTTTCTGATTGATGAACATACGGACGTCGGAAACGCAGAAGAAGTACAAGCTCAGGCAGATATTGTGATGGATGCACTTCGAAACGCCAGCACTCCGCGTCCTCCAAACGAGTGGGTTGGTGGGAAAGCGGCCCAACAGTGGGTGTCTTGACATTCGCCCTATGCCTTGTATTTGTTAAAAAATATCGTCCAGGTTCTGGTTCAATGCGACAAAATTTGCCACTGAACCATCCCAGGACCAATTTATCCGTACAATCAAGATGTTCCTGGACGCCATTGTACAGCAAGCCTTCGATAGAAGTAAAAACCGCATTCGTGATATTGATAGCTACTTTGCCATTCGCAGAGACACTGTTGGCACAAGGCCGGCGCTCACCGTTTGTGGATTATACATGAACATCCCCGACTCGGTTATCAGTCATCCTGTTATAGCTAAACTGACCGAATTGTGCACTGACATGATCATCATGGACAACGATATGGTTTCCTACAAAATAGAGTGAGTTGATATGCATTTGTACGCATAAGATTTCTTGTTACTTGACTGATGTTGATTTAAGGCGTGAACGTGGCGATGAGGGCCATAGCCTATTGAAAATTTGATAACAATAATTATCGTCTATAAAATGAGCTGTATTAAGGTCTTGAACTTGATATGAATTCTTACTATGCAATGAACATGCGCTGGTTTCAGTACACGTCGTCTTATTCGCTCCCACACCAGACCCGCTTCTCACTACCCCAAATTTTTCGCGTCCATGTACCCCCGTTGATGAGCTGCTCCTCGCCGTCGCCGCCACGCCCGATTCCCTCTGCGTGCCCTCGACATCCCGATCTCGTTATAGAAGTACGTCGCGACACTGTAGACACGCAAGCGCATAGATGGAACGGTGGTACGCTGACAACCGTTCTACTTTTGTTCTACTGGTGACGAGATAAAACAAAAAACAACAACGAGCACTCAGAGGCTCGATGAAGGTGCATGTGGGGGGCGAGGCTTTTCACACGGCTTCTAATTACCAAGGGTTCGATGATTTCCTAGTTGTAAGCTACGACTATAGCTTCAAACCAGCTGGAGCTCAATAACGAGACAAAGGCGAGGTTTCGAAGACGAGAGCGCGGCCAAGAGACAAGGCGAGAAACGAAGGGGAGAACGAATCATTTGTTTTCTGTGCACGTCTACATACCTACATTGTATACTTTAATTTATAGATATTTTGACATGCACATATAGAGAAATGGAGAATGAGTCAGTATCAAGGGAAACAGGAATTATTTACAAGAAAAAAACTACAAGTGAACTTTGAAAAAGGGACGAAGAGGCGGCGCGTTTTTAGCATGGGCGCCTAGATTCATGTGGATGGCAACAGTACTATGCGCTGGTGCCAAATAAATGAGACGCGCTGTGTGCGGACGGTTGGAATACGTTAGAAGGTCGTGTGAAAGTTACCTGAAACGAGGAAAAATTAATGTGTGGAAACGCGCGTTGGCGCGATGTGTCGTCGAGAAGGCCGTGGGGGCGCGGGAATATGACACGTGAGGTGGTGGACTTTGTCGAATTTCGCGAGCGGCGCTGATACCAGGTGTGTGTGCACCGACATCAGCGATTGCGCCTGGCAGCGCTCACTGCGCATCCACACTTCCAGCTCTGCATACTACTTTCCCCACCCGTGAACTGTACCGTTGCCGCTGCCACCGCTTCTTGCGATGCTCTCCGCGCCCTCGACATCCATGAGGCGCTCCTGAAATGGCTCATCAACACACTGACCTCGCTGGTGCTTTCCATCTTCTTGTACGCGCCGCGAGATAACCAGGAAATTGTAAGCTGAACAAACTATATTTCGGCCATTACAATCAGCGTGGGGTATGTTCTCTTTATTTGATCGATAAAAATTCTCTCTGCCCGCCTGTACAGATTCCGTGCAGAGCTCAAAAATGACAGAATGACCCTTCAGGCTGCGTTCCTCAAGTTGACAGGGGAACTAATGAGCTCGGGTAGGTCGCAGCACGCGGAAATCGTGTTCAAGATATGATCGATGAATCGATGACCGGTGACCATTCATTTCCACGGTTGTCCCTAGGTGCTGTGCATGCTCGCTGCTCTCACCTCATGCAATGTGATACAAATGGTATCCTGCCGCGAGGCTCTCCCCAGCCAAGGAGGACCTATTCCAGGTTGATTGCGCAGTAATTGAGATACTGTGGACTCTCTATCACCTCTGAATGAGGGTGACCTTGAGGCGGGGTCTCTTTGAAGTGACGATCAATAGAAGCTTCATTTCCGTCGTGAGCTGCGGGGTGATGTTTCAGACGCAGTTGTATCACAGGTCCCATACAAATTTTCACGAGTATAGGAAATGCACTGAAAGTCTGAGCTGGGGGTTCTTCTCAGCGACGCGACGATTCATTTACTTGTACTTGGGCGATAGCTTTAGCTTGCAGTATTTATATGTATAGCTTGACCGAGGATTTCCGAGAGACAATAGACCGTTCCATGAATATCACCAGCCACTAGCAAGGTTGGGTGTAATTGTGTTTGATTGACTCTGCACAGGTAGGTGCATAGCTTTTCCATCGTACATAATATATAGGACTTGCTGGACAACGGCTTTATTGTGATTTCCGCCAAGAACTTCCTGATCCACCGCTAGCCAGTCGCCAATGACCACTGTGCCACCCCAACCGAGCATCGATACTGGCGGGTGGCTCACTGCATTCCTAAGCTTCGTAAAATCACTGTCAGGTCACTTCGCCCAAACCTTCGGGGGATTACCTGGACCAGGGAAACCACATGACAAACACGCCGAGCATCTACCACAGTCGACGCAGCCATTAATATCCCACGCCCAGAAATTCGACGACGCTAAGCAGCGCCTTATCGTAGTCTTAACAGTCAACCGAGTATGCAGAATATTCACGATCATAGCTCTTGGTTGTTGGGGAGGTTGGTCAATCATGCCTACAGAGACAAAGACTCCCGACAGTGTGAAATGGGTGACCTACATTTGCATTGTCACTGACTGGTAAGGTGTCGTTTTTCCACCATTTCCGGGAGGTGCAACGACCGAAATAATTGACATGAATTTGAAAGGGTTGTCCTTTCAACCGATCTGGACTGTACATTCCTTGGGTCAATGGATTGGTACTTCCGCAGGTGGCCGGAATGGTGGTTTCTCAAAAGGGAGAACATGCCTCGGGTAGCAGTTACGGGGTACAGGATTCTCAACACACTGACTGCGCTGGCGCTGTCCATCTTCGTGTACGCACTGCGAGATGATCAGCCAATTGTAAACCGCATAAATTTGATTTCGGCCATTACGATCGGTCTTGGGTATGTTCGTTTTATATGATTAACGAATATTCTCGCTGACAATTTTTTCTAGTCTGTTTTGGCTTGGTTGCGTGGAGAGCACATCGGATAGCCCAGGGGCATGGTTTTTTTGCACTGATAATGGTCCCCGTATATTCTATGGTGAGTCGTTGATTTATAATACTTACCTCTGGCTCACATTCTACCAGGAGCCGAGTCTGCATATAATTTGGGTGAGTGATTTATTCTGTCGTTTCGGTATGCGTAGCCTTATAAATCTTGTGTCGCGCAGCAACGTGGTGGTGGATCGCATTCCGCACACACGGGGTTGTGAAGATTCTAAGGAATCGCGACAAGCCA